TTTTTAATAATGCTATCAGGAGCATATAAAACTCAAACTTTAAAAGAATAGTTCATGCAAAAAAGAAAGTCTTCAATTTTGGATGAACTACAACTTTAAAAGGGTACTTCACCCTCAAAACACAACTGACTGTCGTAATTTACAAACTATGCATTAAAGGATATTCAGAGTTGTACTCTGTGTTACAAGAAAATAAAATTGTGCAGCTAAAAGCCTTTTCACATTATTAAACCAACTTAACTCCAGGCCAAATGAATTATTAACAGAACAGTCAAATGTTCGGAGGCTGATGGGTGTAGAAATTGGCCACTTCTGTGCTTAGATGCAGGCCTTATTGTTCCTCGATCACTAGCTTAATGAACACAAACTACCTAAAAAGAACACTAAAGCAAAAACACCAACTGTTATCGTACCACTCTTCGTCTTTATGGGCCAGGAAGAAGTCCTGCATCTGCTGGCGCCTGAAATCGATCTTGTACTCATTGTAGCGTTTGACCGACTCCGTCTCATCCACAGAGTCGTCCAGGGACAGCAGGAACTCCTTAAAGGTCTTCATCACAGGAAGGGGAGGACCGAGATCCATATCATGAATGTTTCCCAGCCTGAATGAAGACCAGAGAGAAGGAGGTGACCACACAGGTTCAATGCAAGGGAATGGTGGACTGTAGAGCTTCCTGCTCACCTGGCCTGGATGGGGATTCCATGATGAGGCTGCATCAGGTGCATGTCAGGGTGACCCCACGGCTGAGGAGGGGCGTAGCCGGGCCCTCCTCCGCCTCCATAACCCAGATCATAGCCACCATGGTAAGGGTCACCTCCATGGTCATCCCTGAGAAGAGTTTTATAAAAGGCATTTGATCTCTTTGGCTTCGTTTCAAAAGCTAGTGAGCTGCCTACAAGGCATCACAAACGCACACTTCACTATCTGTGAACCTGGACCACAAAACCAGTCATAAGTGTCAGTTTTTTTACAATTGAGATTTATGCATCATCTGAATAAATAAGCCTTCCATTGATGTATGGTTTGTTAGGATA